AGACTTCAACTTGTACCGTGAAGTGCTTTCAGGCCTGGTGCCTTACTTCTTTGCAAATAACAATGTAAACTATGCCCGGTGGATCCCCATTCACCTACGAGATATGATGTCACTCGAGTAACAACATCCAGATGTGGCCAAGGAGGTTCACAACGGTAACTTTGTCATCCACAAGTCGAGAAGAAAATTCTCTGGCATGGCAATTGATCAAGCGCACGAGCACAATAATGCAGTGATCAAAGGCGACGGGGGAGCAATTGGGTTGACAGAAGACCCGTCAGCACTTCGTAGGTGGATGACCACTGGACCTGAAGTTAGTTGTCTTCTAGCTGGATACGAGGCCATGTCTGGTATGAAGGATGCCACATGCAGCAGCAGACACCATGAGCAGACACTCAGTGCCCAGAAATCTTTCTTTGAGAAGGTGAAATCACTCTCTGCAGTGATGCATGAGATGGGTAACCCATTCCAAGAAGAATCAGGAGACCTGATAGTGGTAGACACAAAGAACATTGCAGACCGAACTCTAGCTGAAATGGTAGCTACACATCACCTGCGTGGCAAAGAGCAGTTCCTATCATTCATGAAAGAGCTAGAGGATGAAGCTGAAAATCGTTTCTATCATCCAATTAAGAAAAACTCATTCATTCATTCTTCAATCAAATGCAGGTTGAGGGAATTTCTAAGGAGAAAGTCCTAAAAGACGACTGTCAGTTATTCTCGCGACTGTTCATCTCATGCCAGAACAGACAGTGCGACTTGCAAGAATTCTTCAAGCACGAGAATCAGTCACACCCTGCATTTCTCAGTGACACTGGGAAGCTTCATACATGTCAAAAGGCACAGCTGGTTGAAATTCTTGAAGCACAGGTAAATGTCCCAGTCAGCGAATCAAAGGGCGACACAATCATCATTGTTGGCTCAGCATTTATCAGTGCCTCACCTCCACGTACTTTAAAGACATTTGATGACTATGCTAAAGAAGACATCATCACAAACGTAGAATCCTATGGTGCTAGGAACAAGCGGGTGGACATAGTTTTTGATGTGTACAAGACATCAAGTCTGAAATCCGAGAAATCAAAAAGGGGGCAGGGAATCAGAAGAAGAGTGACAGAAAAAAAGTAAGACACCAGGAAATTGGAAAAGCTTCCTTTGTCTCCCAAGCAACAAGACTGAGCTGTTTCACTTCCTTGCCGATAAGATATGTGAAGCAGAAACAACAAGCACAGTCACCGTCACAAAAGGGAAAGATGCTATTAGCAATACAGTGAAGTCGCTAGATGCTGTTTCCCCATGTTGCCATGAAGAAGCTGACACTCGAATATTTGTTCACGCCAAGGATGCAACAACTGACGGGAGCAAATCTATAATCATCAAGGCCAATGACACAGATGTGCTAGTCGTAGCAATATCTGTACTGCCATCCTTCCAGGAACTAGGTCTTCAGGAAATGTGGATTGCCTTTGGCCAAGGAGCCCAAATGCGATGGATCCCAGTCCATGAGGTAGTTTATGCAATAGGGCTAGAGAAAGCTAGAGGAATCCTCTATTTCCACGCGTTCACTGGATGTGACGTCGTGTCTGCCTTCCGTGGGAAAGGGAAGAAATCTGCATGGCAGACTTGGAATGTATTTGATGATATTACAGAAACATTCACTAATCTCAGCCAGCATCCAACATTGATTCGTGATCTTGACATGCAGAGGCTAGAAAGATTCGTTGTCCTCATGTACGACAGATCAAGCGCAGCCACCGGTGTGGACGAAGCAAGGCTAGACCTGTTTGCCCGAAAGCAGAGGGCATACAACTCAATTCCACCAACACAGGCAGCCCTCAGAGAACATGCAAAGTGTGCAGCCTACAGGCTGGGATCATCTGGGCCAGGCAACTATTTGTAATCCAGACATGAGCAGTCCCGCTGAATGGGGGTGGACACAGAAAGGAGAGGCATGGCAGATAACTTGAACAACACTACCACCGACTGCAGCAAGCTGTCAGGAACTGACGAAGTGTTCCTGTAAGATGGGTTGCACTCTGCAGCTGCACATGTGAATAGTAGCAGATAGAGGACCAGCGGCATGGTATGCACAACTTTGAAAATTTACTAATGGCCATCATGAAATATATGTGTCAGAGTGCTTTAACTATGTCATAAATAGGATAATATTCATCAGCAGGTTGGAAAACATAGGAATCCACACTTAGATCATGTAAATCGGACAACTACAAGCGTTTTACAACAACTTCAGGTGGCTATTTTGGTGGCTATCTTGGATTTTCAATTGGCCAATTGGACAGATTTGATAAGTATCCCTTTGAGAACAATTGTGCTAAATTTGACGCTTGTATCATCATTTGCACGATTTTTCTGTTATCTGGCCCACTATAGGACTCGGAGGTGAGTCAAAACCAATTCAATGGTTAGTACCACAGAACTCGGGATTCCAGTAAACCCTGAAGTTCTGGAGGATCCTCCAGCGACTACTAATGATGATATG